TTTGAAAATATTTTATTTAAAATATTTCTGTTTCAAGGTATGAATCATGACATAAAACAACGTCTAAGTCAAGGATATAGGATATCTCAAAAAAGGCACCTTATATTTTCTTTATTCCTTCACATAAGATTGCTTATAGTGTTTTCAATAAAATATAAAAATTTCAGAATGGGTCAATGAGGGGATCTCAAGTAAATCAACTTTTAGTAAAATAATTCACATCATTTTCATACAAATTTCAAAAATTTTATTTTTTTTGTTCATAAACAATTTAATTTTTGTTTCAAAATTATATATTTATTTTGGTGTTCATCAACAATTAATTGGGAACTAAAACGATTAAACGATCGGATAAACAGTTTAGTAAATATACGATGTTATATTTAATGCTTGTTGAAAAAAAAAAATATGAACTTAAACATCGACCGTAACGAATTTGAAAATTTTGGAGAACTTTAAATTCCCTATTTACAAGAAGAATGAGTGTACCGAATTTCATCGAAATCGGAGAGAGTCATGTTCAAGTTCGAAATTTTTTGAAATTACCCCTTATTGATTTTGTAAAGGGATATTTTATAGGCAAGGTCAAATCATGGATCAATTCGAAATAGTCTTTTGCATTTTTCATTTCGCACTTTATTCTGAGGGAGTTCTGGCAACACTGATATAGACTACCCCAGAGGAGTATTTTTTCGAATTCTATTGTCATCAAATTATCCTCTATTAGAGCAGTTTTTCGAGGTCTTCAACCCATTTCACTGTATCTTTCCCATGAAATTTTTTAATATTTTTGAAAGTGTTGATTTATTCATTAAATATTTATCACAGATCAACAAATATTAGGGAAAATATTAAAAGTATTAAAATTATATTTATTATTTATTACAATAAAATAAAAATAAAACCAAAACATTTGTTATGTAAAATATGTATTAAGTTTTTAAAGGCATTTCCATTTTATTAACCATTTTTTATACTTTGTTTTATACTTTAAAGTAACAAATAATGAATTAAAAGTGTGTAGAATATATAAAACTTAAAACTGATGATTTATTTTGGTTCAATTAGGATTTGTTTACTACGATACGACTAAAAACTTAAATTTAGTTTCCAGCCTTCTCTTTAGTAAAATAAATTAAAATAATAAAAAAAGCATTTAAAAGAGTATACCTATATTATTTTATACAATATTTCGTTGGTCATTTTAGAAAACGTATAAAGTTGAGTGCGTAGGTGAAGAGGCAATTTAAAACAAAAAAGAATAATGTAACTTAATATAGGCAATATAAATGACATAAATCTAATTTGACTAGAATTTGAGGCAATTAATTATTATTCTAATCCCAATACCCAATTAATACCCTGAACAATAAAAAATATTAATGGCTGCCAGGCCACCAAGAAACGTATCCAATCCAATAAACGGCCATACAGAACATGAGGTCGTTCCCAACTGAATAGAATGAAAATAGAATAAGAAGTTAGTTAAAATTTTAAATATATACAGTGATGGAGACTTACGGATTACAAAACATTTTTTTAAGATCAACTTTTTCCTTGCAATAGGGGCAGGTTTGTTTCTTTCCGACAATGCACCAACCACGTATGCAGAATTCATGAAATACATGATTACAAGATAGCTTATATGTATTTTCAATTATACCTTCTTCTTTCTCACTAACTAACAATAGATTGCCACAAACCGCACACACGTTATCTTCTAAATGTCTAGTAGGAATTCCTTGGGGCGTATAGTACTAAATTCATAGATATTTAATACTAAATAAATTATCTTTGTAAAAAATTATCATTTTAACATACACCAATTAATGCCGCCATTTTTTCTGAACAAATTTCTGATATGTCTCTACCCAAAACTCCAATATAAAGACCATAGAATACAAACATCAGGCCAACATCCATCCAAACATTTGGGAGTTGATTAAATATAAAATTAAAACCCAAAAATGTGGCCATCATTATTAAATAACCAATTATACCAAGGCCGTAACTAAGTTTGTAGATAAAATAAAACCATTTGTAAACGAGTCTATTGAAATAAAAAAAAAAATAAATTAATTTATTCGATTTTTTTGCAAACGAATTATTGTCTTACCTTGGTGTGGTTCCTTGAATAGGTTTACTAATAGCTCGCCTTATAACGATAGCTGTTATGATGGAAAACACAGACCATATTATAATGAAACGCACAAAACCATAAAAAAACGATATGCCTAAAGGTATAGTCCACATTGCTAAAAGAGTGACGGCCTTAAAGAAATTAAGTAATTTATAAAATTTTATATCGTAGTATTAATAATAATAAAATTAAGAGAACTGAACAATTTTTTTAAATGATATAATTTAGTAATACATTTGTAAAAGAACGGGTTTGATTTGTCATAGTATGTTTCTTAATAATTATTCAAACCTTGATGTATCCTGATTCAAACATTTAGTTGGTGTCAAGAATGTTGCATATCAATTTAAGAATCATTATTAAATTTATTAAGCTGTATTTTTCCGTAAAACGTTTGTCATTCATTCCATAAAGTGTATTTGGTATAAACCTAAATCGCTAAACAAACATTTATTTTAAGAATTTATTTGGAAGGTTGATAGCTTCAAGCATTTTTTTAAATTTAAAATGTAACCAGGCAAATTTTTATATAATATAATATGCGTTTGACTATCATGAAAGTGTTTTAGGGATCTAGGTTTACTCCTAGAATTTTTCAATAATCGATTTCAGATTTGCTCAATTTTCAACAAATAAAATAATATAAATTTTTTACTCTATAATTTCCCTGATATTTGTTATTACCCTTGTAAATACTTATGTGTCATAAGGGCATATTATTAGTGTTTTTATATTTACCGAATACGATCTGTAGTGTCTTTTCTTCCATTGTACTAAAGCAATTTGAGCCACTATCAGAGTAGCAAACAATATAAGCACCATTTCCGAGTGCATAGCTTCATGGCCTTTATGTTTTTCATGTCTCATCTGATGTTCATATCTAAACAAAAACAATAGTATTGTTAAAAATACCAACATAGAGCAGAATAGAACAAAATACATTCACAACTTCTAGTTGATATCTGTAGGCAGTTTTGTTATCATATTTTTACGACACATACCTCATTTTTTCTTCGGGCGTCATTTCCTCCAGAGACTTTAATTCAAAGTTAAGAAAAATGAAAAAAAAATTAATTAATTTTCAGATTTATTAAGGATAAATAAAGATAAATTGTTTACCTTGTTAAAGTCGACAGGAGCATGTAAATCTCGATGATCCATCATGTTATTTCCAACAATTTATTCAGTTTCAGTTTTTATTAATCTTTATGTAGTAAACTAAAATTTACTAATGCTATTGTGTTATTATTTAAGTTTTAACATTAAAAATTATTAGAAATTATAATTATCTCTGTAAAAAATAGAAGTCTGTGTAAATGCACAGAAAAAATATTACAAATGACAATTCACAATAACATGACAGATTGATTTGTTTACTGTGACGTTGCTAGTTTTTTTTTTCTTGTAAAAAAGTGCTGCTGCCCTTAGCTAAAAAAAACCGCTGAAAAGCTTTTCTCCTACATGAATAACTTATTCCTATTATAGCAACCCAAACGATATTATAACGAAACGATATTTTCAAAAAATTACGTTAATAAAATTAACTATTAGTATTATGCACTGCCAACAGTATTTATTCAAAAAGTTAGTACTCAAATAATAACTTGTAGGTAAAAATGTCTAAAAAAACATCTAATATTGAACAATTTGAATGGAAAAAAGTGATCCCTTACGAAGAAACTGTTCCGCTGTTTAATACTTGATGAGCCGATTTCAGTTTTAGGTCACTTTTTTATGACATAAAAGTGTGTAAAAAAAAATTTTCAATTTTGTCATAACAATAGGGAAACTGAAAATTTATCTAATTTTACACTCTTTTACGTTATAAAAGCGACATTATAATACATTTTCTTTATTTCTCTTTTCTCCCTTATTTTATGAATAATTTAAAAATTGTTTTATACTCACTTATCTCTCACTTATGTTTATTATATTAAACTTATGTTTTTATATGTTTCACTATTCACACAGTTGATCAGTTGCAATTTTAATTTCAAAAAATCGACTTTGACAAAATAGTTCTTCATTGTTTTTAATTTTTTTTTAATATTTTTTCAAAATGGGCCTTTATTTTTTTTTTTTTCTTAAAATAAAGCTTATACAATTTCCTTTAAGGGCTTTATAGTCCCATAATGGGATGCGAGCGTGATATCTATCAAAAAAAAATTTAACTCCAAAATAATTTTTTTTCAATATTTGGCACTTCTTTTTCCCCTATTTTTTTCAAAATGGAAAAAAAGGCAACAATTTTTTTGCTCAAAAGAAAGTGGTCCGTCTCATTTTGGAAAAAAAAAATTATTGAAAAAATTTTTTTTAATTTTTTTGGAAACAATGAAGATATAGCTTTTTGAACAATTTTTGCTAGGACCAATAGGTAAAAAGTTACACTCATTTCAATAAAACCCTGTATGACCAAAATGTCCAACTTTGACTCCGGCAGTTCTTGACCGATAGAGCTGACTTTGGTTTTTCAAGATATCTTTGATTTTGTACTTACAGATATCATGTAAGAGCAATAAAACATAATAAGAGTAGTTGTTTTTTCGTCAAATAAGTGTAAAGTTGAGCGCTAAAAAAACTTGATGCATTTGTTAAGAACTGCTAGTCAGATGCAAGGAAGCCATACATAGGTATTTTGAGTCTTCTACATCTTGATCTGGCGAAAGATTAATGGATATACTAATAGATATTCGGTTTCTTTGTACAAATAATTTTGTGTAAAAAATACATAAAATACGGATATTAAGACGGTTTTCATAAAACCATATTAATCTGTGGAAAAGTTTGAGACGTTTTCTTAAGCCGTAAACATATCTACTGACTAGTCACAGTTTCTAAAAAGTTCAAATCCACAAAAGGATACCAGGCATCAGGTAAGCTTTATTTTAACTTTAAAAATAAAAAACAGTTTATATTTTTATATTTTTTTAAATGTTTGTATTTTCTTTTCATCCCAATTATTTTTATTTCTTAATTTGGTAAATTCATTTATCTCTACTTTGGGATATAGAACGCCATCGTTACCCATTTTATAATGAAAAACTTTATCTTTACGTTCTTTTTTCTTAGCCCACATATTTACTTCGGCACCCGATAAAATGTAATTACCATCAATTGCTAACGATTTTAATACATCTTCTGAATCTTTATTTTCTGCAACATTATCAACAATTCTTCGTTTAATAATTGGTTTCTGTTCTGGACCTTTAGTTTCATATTCAAAATCTTCATACGGATTGACGAAACAATTATCTCCTTTTAGTAATTTCACACGGCTTTTGTATTTGGTTTTAGTCTTTAACGAGTTTTTTCCGACGTTGATTTCGGTAAACTCATAATGTTGATTTAAAATGTCAGTGAATTTTTTAGCCAAAAACCTTTGCATAGATTCAGGTAAATTAAAATCAGTTCCGGAATTGTCATCATCCTCAACAATGTAACGTTGAGATTTGGGTAAATCTGTTAAAGAGATAATACTTAGTTTTACTACGTACTTCATAAAGAGTATATTCGGAAATACATATCGCTCTCCCAGTACGAAAGTGACACAATACTTTTTTAAACAGAGGCTTAATGAATATAAAAACGCAAAAATAACATTTTGAGTTGAGTCACAGTACTGGGTGTGCGATATCTACATCTCTAGTGTTACACATTCCGGTCGGAATGGTAGCATCTCAAAATTCCAAATCATTTCATTAATTCGCATTTCTTCTGCTTATTAAAATCGGAATGGAATTCTCTGAGAGGTCTAATATTTCCAAATGTAATGAAACTATATTCTGAGAATCGTGAATCGACAGTACCTTTTTTTACGGCTTCTTCTGTATGAGCTGCTTTTCCAATTTTCTCAATATTTTTTTCTTCTTTATTCTGAAACATAGCATTATTTAATAATGTAGTATCCGCTGCCTCCAGGAATTGTTTCATTTGAATATCATCATCGGATTCAGAATCACTTGACATTTTTATTATTATTTCCAATTTAATTATACAAGAAATGTATGACCGAAACTAACACATACAAAATGATTTCACTAACACTCTTGCAACATTTTTTTTATAAAATTGCTAAAAAAAATAGTTAATGGATAATTCCATCAATAATGACAGTCAAATGACCGGTAAAATGACTGTTGATGTACCCAATGTGTGGTAAAGGGTTTCATTTGCTTATGAAAGAGTGAAACAACTACATTTGACTGTTACTGTGTTTAGAGTTATATTTTTCGACGTTATAAATTATTTCTGTAAAAGCCAAAGATCAAGAAGCGAAAAATTTAAAAATTTACAAAGTCTATAAATTATTGCAAATAAAGAGAATTATTATAAACAGAATTTAAAAATAGTGCAGGAAGTGGAGCTGAAGATATACACTGCGGAGTTTAATCAATCTATGGTAAGTAACATGATTACTTTTAATTTTTATATTTCGATATTTATATGTATTTCTTACAGACAATTTATTTCCACAAATTTCCACAATGTATGTAAAATGGTGAAATGATTGTTAATTTATGTACATGCTTATTATATTAATAAAATTAACAAATATATATCTTAAAATATTAATAAATTGTGTTTTATTATAAATTGGTATAGCCGTCACATTTGACGGATATATTCATCACATATGATTAGTCAACAATGACCGATAAATACATCATTTTTAATTTGTTAACTGTGATAGATATATCCATCAAGCATGATCAGTCAATCCTGACTAATATTTATGTCATCCTTGATTAGAAAACAACAAAAGAGTGAGGAGCTCAAATATATGTTTTAAAGTCGATAGAATTCATAAGTGCAAGGGAGAAGAAAAATCACATGTACACAAATGTTTCCATCACTTTTGTCCATTTGCCTTAAGAAATTGATAGAAACTTTGCTTTACGCTGTGATAGAAATAATACGTCAGTAGTGCCAGTCAAATGACCTATCAAATGACTGTCACTGTTCTTGTAGGATAATTTCTAATGAGCGATAATTGTTTGTAAACAATCTTCACGTGCCGTTTTTGACAACTTATTTTTTATCTAAAAATTCACAATAAGTTCATAATGGAGTAGAAAAAAATTAGTGTCGACCGAAGGCGATTTTAATGAAAAGTAGATTTTCAGTTTTCGTGTAATATGTTCTATATATCGTCATATAAAAAAACCTTCTGAAATAAATAAATTAAAAATTTTCAACATTTTCTCAAGTTAAACTTATTTTTTATTAGGAAATTTTAAGAAACTATTAACAAAAATTAAATAAGTAAATACTTCTTCCTCTTGAAGACATTTCAAGAGCAAATTAAAGTAAAATAAAGTAAATGTTCACTATTTTTACAGTAATTTTTGATCATTCGTCTTAGCAGTGCATTTTGAAAATCAAAAAAAAAAAAAAAAAATTACATTTCTGCTGTTTTTCATACAACTTATCATATTTTTTAAATAGATTCTCTTAATTGGAAAGTATTTTATTGTCTGTGTAGTATTTTGCAAGAAAATAATAAATCATTCCTCGATCGAAATATATCACACCTTTTAAATCGGATGATTTAAAATCGCTCGAATTCCATCACATACCGGATTATGTCCAAAACTATCCATAGAATTTGTCTCACTGAGTCATATTTATTAAAATTATCCATATTTTTTTCTTTTAATCGCAAGAAAAACTTTATAGAAGTCATTTTGTATATTAAACTGCATAAAAGTGCACTCACTACCAAGGCGAATGATAAAAAAATACTTATAAAATCGTAAAAACCTTATATTACATTAATTTATTTAATAGTAATTTTTGTTAACAGTTTCTTAAAATTCACTAAAATTTAATATATGGGCATTTCCACCGAAAAGTATATTTTTTGTCACATCACGTCACGCACATTAATTGACAATATCTTAAGACCATTCCTTTTGATTGGCCCTCACTTTATCCTATGTATAAAGCTATTAGAGCTCTACATAAAAATATAAATAATTTAAATATATATAAATATTTTCCCTAGATATAGGCAGTTAATGGTGCGTGACGTGATGTGACAAAAGTAGACTTTTCGGTGGAAATGCCCATATTCGTAGTTATGTATGTGCTTTAGTAACAACGTATTTTCCTTTTTTAACATTATGTTTCATTGTTTTTATAATTTCTAGGCTATATTCTATCTAAACTAATAATTTTAATTACAAAATAACCTATTTTTTAATTTTACTGAACTTTTATCTAACAGGTTGTTGTTGTTGTAACAGTTCGACTATGGCCGATAGTACTTCCCTGGGGAAAAAACTTTCGGTTGATACAGCTGTCGCTGGGTTGACAATCTTTGGCCGAGTATGACTCGCGTCGTTCCGGAGCGAAGATCCAATTGTCGTGGGAACGTTTATCTAACAGATAAAAGTTTGTGCTTTAGTTTTGTCCGATGTACGTAAATTTATATACAAATTCGATAATCAGCAGGGAGACCGAATACACTTTTAAGATAAGAATTGCTACGGATCGTTGAAGGAACATATATATATCTATGTTTTTATTCTAGTAAAATGCGCTAAAGTTCAGATATTATTTCAAATTATAATAGCTTGTTCGATAACCAAAAGTTGCTACTAGTTTGTACAAATTAGTATTACATTTTAAAATAAAAATATTTGCGAAGTAAATTATTTCAATATTACGTAAAATGCAGATGCTTTTAAATATTTTGCAAGCTTTAATTCTAATTTAAATCAAAAATTTCAATCATATCGACGGTTTAAAAATTACTTTTATTTTCTTGAAAGTTTTTACCAGTAAAGCGGTCATATTTACTTTTTACTATTTTTGAGTAGTTGTGTAAATTTTGATTTTATTCTTTCACTGAAAGTATTAACTGGGAAAGTAAATAAACGGACCTAATTTAAAAATAATAATGGTTGTATTATGGTTTCAAATCTTTTTTATTCATGACTATGAAAGTTTGCATTAATTTCTGTACTATATGAATGAATATCAACTGTTGCGGGATGAGAGTCTTGTTGTACTGCTATTTGATTTTGACCTTCCAATAGGCTCATTAATGCATTTTGATTAACTACATTAACATTATTACCACCACTTGCATTGACACTGCCTCCGGATCCGCTAGCGGTTACTACACCATTAAAATCCTGCATAGCTATTGTATTGTTATCAGATGTTGCAGGCATTTCGAAGATATTCATAAAATCGCCTTCCTGAAATTCTTCTTTTTGCATATTCTGACTCTCCTTCATTAATTTGTCGTACTCCTGGAAGGCACCATTAAATTCGGCTATTTCCATACGATTGCGAGCAATCAAATGATGTTTAAAGTAATTATGAACTTGTGTCAATGAATTATTCGTCATGGAGTAGTAGGCCTTTTCTAAATTCTTTACTTCAATATCGCGCTGTGTTTCTAAATTAACATCATTTGCATGCACTTCTCTAACATGTTGCATTAGATTGAGTATGAATTCTTCGCAAGCATCCGCAAATAAGATTAGCGCAGATTCAGCGGTGTCTGTAAATCCAGCCACTCTCATCTGACCACAAACGGCTTTACGTAATGAAGCTCTACATATTTCAGAATTGACCTGAGGATAATGTTGCGGTACACCGTTAGCAAAGTCGCTGTCTTGTGGGGGTACAAACCAAATGGGTTTGGTGAATTTATCATCTGAAACGAAATCAGCTGCATTTTCTGGTGGAAAATCAACTTCAGGTATCATTTGACAAGGATTAAGTAAATAATTTGATGTCCCCTATAAAGCAATTAAATTGTTAATAAAATTTTCTGCTCTGTATGTACATTGTATGTGGTGTATAGTTCCATACCGATTTGTTGGAGTATGTATCGATTAATGATTGTAACATTTCTGTTTGTTTCATTACTTCTATGGTTTGTGTCACCAGAGGATTTTTAACTTTAACTAAAACACTGAAATAAAATGTTATAGGTTACTCCAAGTTTACAATTTTTCCTTGAAATTATTACTTTTTGCTAGCTTCCGTGGGTTGCTGGTTTTGCATTTCTGTTAACTTAATACGTTTGGCACCTAAGGGTATCATTTTGTTATCATCCTCTTTGAGGGATTTATCTTCCTCAATAAATTCACCCCACAATTGTCGAGGCATTATTATATTTTGAAAATTATAATCTATATTTTCCGTGTATTTAATTATTGGAATTATTATTTACAAATGGACATAAACAAAACAATCACTGGTAAATGATAACATACATATATTGAATCACAATAGTTTATTCAGCAGTGTTGGTTAATAACTTTAAAATCTAGTTAAAATTCTAACGATTATAGTTTTTGGAAATACTTTAAATATTTTTTGTTGCTCCGATTATGATTAATTTTACATGTGAAAAAGTTCAAGATAGACAGACGTAAGCCTTTTTTGAGTTTTGATTATTTTCATACCCTGATTCAAAATATTATTTCGTTTCAGAAGATACCAAATATGTACTAATATTAAAACTTAATTCTAAAATTTCAATTAAGAGTTACTTGTTAAAATCCCAATGTTTAAATGTTTTTTGAATGTTTTGATGATGGGTATATAAGATTCGGCATAGCCGAATGTAACACTCTTAGGGCGGGTTTTTCAGATAAAGATAATAAAGACATTCTTTGTTTAACCTAGTTTAATCTATATTTTTTGTGTTTTTCAGTAATCAGTTACGTTACTTATCATAGTTTAACTCAGTGTTATTGTCCAATTAAACCTAGGTTATAAATGAGAAAACACAATCAACAAAAATAATAAAATAATGAATACGGAAGAAGAAAAACCTAATTTTTTATGTTAATACCTAGTTTTTTTTTAATTGTTTTATCAATATTATTATTGTTTTAAATATTCATTTTAATTTTTTCTAAAATTTTTCATTTTACAAAAGTAATATTTTCAAAAAAAAAAAAACTGTTCATTGTTTATGTTTTTGACTGAAAAGTTGGCAGTATTGACAAAGTTAACTGCTCTTAAATCCATAACTGAAAAACACAATCATCGGTTATAAAGTCCGCCTAAATTTGTTCCGAGTTTAATCTAACAGCATGTTAAGCCTAGTTTGACTGAGTAGTAAGAAACCCGCTCTTACTGACTGACTGACTGACTGATTCATCATCGCACAGCCTAAATGGAAATTCGAATGTTTAGGGGGTAAAAACATGTGAATTCGGTAACCTCATATCTCCTAAACTACTTAGAAAATATACAAAGACAGTTTAAAGCTAATTTAGAAGCACTAAATATGCTAATAAGGAGTTATTTGGAACACCGGTAGCAAGTGATATTTTTACTACTTTTTCGTTCTCCAACTGGTACTTTTTGAGTTTTCTATGATATTGAAATCGAAACATGAAATTAATAATTAAGGGACTTTTCGGAACTTTTTCGTTCTACAAAGGTACTTTTTGAGTTTTCTATAAAATTTAACTTAGAAACATGAAATTAAGCAAGTAGAGTCCGGTGTAAATGAGAATCTATAAAATGGGACTTATTGGTACTTTATTGTACTTCGACTGGTACTTTTTTGACTTAGAACTTAGAAACATGTAATTAAGCACTTGAGAATCTATAAAAGTGGACTTTTTGGTACTTTTTCGTTCTTCAAAAGGAACTTTTTGAATTTTCTATAATATTAAACCTAGAAACATGAAAGCATGTAGAGCCCCGATTAAGTGAGAACCTGTAAAAGGGGACTTTTTGGTTCTTCAAAAGGTACATTTTAAGTTTTTGTATAATAATGAACATACAAACGTGAAATTAAGCATGTAGAGCCCGGATTAAGTGAGGTCCTATAAAAGGGGACTTTTTGGTACTTTTCGTTCTTCAAAAGGTACTTTTTGAGTTTTCTATTAAATTGAACATAGAAACATGAAATTATGCACGTAGAGCCCGGAGTAAATGAGAATCTATAAAATGGCACTTTTTGGTACTTTTTCGTTCTTTGACTGGTACTTTTTGAGCTTGCTAAAAATTTGAACCTCGAAACATGAAATTAAGCACTTAGATCCTGGAGTAAATGAGAATCTATAAAAGGGAAACTTTAACGTACTTCGACTGGTACTTTTTGAGTTTTCCATAAAATTAAACCTAGAAACATAAAAATAAATATGTAGAGCCCGGAGTAAATTATAATCTATAAAAAGGGACTTTTTAGTACTTTTTCGTTCTTCGACTGGTACTTTTTGAATTTTTTATAATATTGAACATAGAAACATGAAATTAAGAATGTACAGCCCGGATTAAGTGATAACATATAAAAGGGACTTTTTGGTACTTTTTCGTTCTTCAAAAGGTATTTTTTGAATTTTCTATAATATTGAACCTATAGACATGAAATTTTTTGAATTTTTTATAATATTGAACCTATAGACATGAAACCTGTAGGGCATGGAGTAAGAGAGACATATAAAACGGGACTTTTTGGTACTTTTTCGCTCTTCAACTGGTACTATTTGAATTTTCTATTATAATGAACCTAAAAACATAAAACTAAGCAATCAGGGACTTGAGTTAATGAAAATTTAAACTGGAGTATTTCTGGTAATTTTTCGTTCTGTAACTGGTACTTTTTGAATTTTCTAAAATATTGAATATATAAACATAAAATTAAACACGCAGTATCCAAATTGAACGAAAATTTATCGCTTTTTTACGACATATGATTTGCCGAATATAACTCTTACTTCTTACTTATTTTAATCATAAAGAAATTACCGTTAAAATAGGAATAGTCTGCCTTTACTTTTGGAATATTTTTCAATCTCTTTGTGATCCCTTTAAATGATGTTGTTCTGGAAGAACTTTAACATCCATGTAAACATTTTGGGTAATAAATTGGGGGACTACCAATGAGGAACCTCCCATATGAATTAAATACAAAAATTCGTTTATCTGGGCAACTAATAGAACTAAATTCTTCAAAATTTGCACGAAGAACTTTAATATTCATCTGAACATTTTGGAGAAAAAAGGGCGGACTTTCATCTGGGGGCTTGGAGCTCCCATATGAATTAAATAGAAAAATTCGTATATCTAAGAAACTATTAGAGCTAGAATCTTCAAATTTTACTGAAGAACATTTAGAGAAAAACGGGCGGACTTTCAATGGGGGGCTTGGCACTTCCCACATGAATTAAATGCAAAATTTTGTATATCTGGGAAACTATTAGATTATTCAAAATTTTCATAGATTAAATTAAAATCTTAATTAACGTTCGGAATAATTGGCGAAATTGCAATAATTTGCGTGGAATCTCCCATATGTAAAAAATTGTATATCTGGAAAACCATTGTAGTTAGAATCAGCAAAATCGTTAAGTGGGTTTCTTATTTATATTGCTTTTAGGGTAGCACAGCACACAGGGTATAGCTAATAAATAAACAAATAAAATATCTTTGTTTTCACGTTATTCATAATTTGTTTAATGCAAAATTTTTTAGAAACTGATTTTCTGCAAGATGTTTTATATGGAGGATAGGGTTAAATATCGGCAGATCCTCGTAAAATTTGGAGAAAGGATTTGTTTTTAATTTTTAAGAATCTTTTATTCATCCCTGCATAATTTCTCACACAATTTTTGAGCTTGCTCTGTTTTGTTGTTATAAACAATATGCTTCTAAAATCCCACTTTCTGATCTATCGGATTCCGTTTTTATTTAAAATCGTTGAAAATTTAAAAACTAAACGTACATATTTGAGAACTTAGCCGGCTAACAATTGATTTTAAGCCGCCGCCGATATTTTTAGTGTCAGCCGCCCTTAATATTTGTCGGCGCAGGGCTCTGCTGTACAATCAAAATAAAAACAATACAATGCCGCTAAAATTGTTCAATGCTATTTGATTTTATGCATTTTGGTGCTAATTTAAAATTTAATATTTTTGTGATTCATTTGAGATCATTAAAAATGTGTACATTGGCCGCTCAAGGAAAGATTAAGGTAAAAGCTAAAGACCTTAATTTGGATTTGACTTTGCTGGGAGGGCAGAGTTTTAGGTACAATGTTTGCTTTTCACTTGAATTTTTTTGTAAATAATTTTTAATCAATTTTCAAAATTATGAAACAGATGGGAAAAAGAAATCAATGGTTATGAATGTGAGTGGCGTGGTGTGGCTTATGGTGTATACTGGATTTTGAAACAAAATGAAAATTATTTATTTTACAAGGTTCATACATCAACCACCTCCTGCAATCAAGACAATAGTGATAAAGGCTTCTATAGTAACTTACTACAACGTTATTTACGCTTAGATTTTGATCTATCCACACAAATAGAATTATGGCGAAAATCCCATCCTCATTTTGGCAAATTGGCTCCTCATATGAAAGCTGTGCGTGTATTGGATCAGGAGCCATTGGAAAATATAATATCATTTATGTGTAGCCAAAACAATAATATTAAAAGGTAAATAATGGAACATATGTACCTACTAGGGAAATTTATCTGAATTTAAATTTTATTTTATTGATTTTAAATTTCAGAATATCAACTATGATTCAATGGTTGTGTGAGAATTATGGAGAAAATATTGGGAATTTCCAATCAAGTGATGTCTATAGTTTTCCTAATTTGGAATCGTTAGTTAAGGATCAGAATACGGTAAGAAATTATTATTTATTATGTATGAATCTTCACATAGGTAATAGAAATACTAGTGATGCAATTTTTATTGGCAAAATGACTAGCTATGTACACACTAATCGATTAATTTTGCTGTTACACAAAAATGTTTGATATGCCTTTGAAAGTGTCTCTCAAGGACCTTTCTTATGATACCATGATTTCATATTATTCCTTTGGAAGAAATATGAAAAAAAAATCATAAAAACCTCATAAAAGGACTTTTATTCAGCTACTAGGACTAACTAAATTTTAATTTTCGGTGGGAACATCAGCAAATTCAATTTTGGGGTCACCTTAATGTACATGTATTACAAAAAGTATTTTATGACAATCCATTAGGTTATTAAAAAATTTAATAACCTATTACATACATTTACACCGTGATACAATCTATATTTTTTTCATTGGACTTGAATGAGACCATATACTCTAGAGTGTCCCGTGCACCGCCTTTTTGTAGGGGTACCTCTTAAACGATGTGTGTTGAAAAGTGCCTCAGTGCCTACCGGATCACTGTGGTTCCAAATCACAGAAATGGTGGCTCTGAATCCGAGGAAAATGTTAAA